TTTTATACTGCTGCTAGACCAGCTAGACTGTTTCCCAAACAAATTGTAGAAATTGTGACACCACCAGCAACAAAAATGAAGCCTCTGCCAAAAGAATAGGAATTAAAGCTGTGGAGCAAAGGAAGGAAGTGAAAATGTGAGAGGAGAGAAATGAATTCAGAGACTGAGAGAGGAAAACATACAATAGCTGGACACTACTTTTTGTGAAGCAGGGGCATTAGATCACTTAAAAAGGAAGAGATGAAGACACCTGGACTTATTAAAAATTCTATACTTAAATACAAACACATAAGTCAATATCATTAAGAGAAAACATTTCCATGATAGTTTTCAAAGATCTGTGTACCCATCCTCAACAATGCAATCAGGGATATGGATACAATATTATTATGTGTAGGTAATGGATAGTCTATTGGGGACACCACAGTTCAACATGATTTTCAGAATCACTTGCCATTCTAACCCATCACTAAGCATTTAGTAATGTGGTATATGAACCTTTATTACTGCTTTTTTAAGGTACACAGAAAAATGATCTTTTTAAAAAGATTATTAAATTATAAAATATACATAGAAATTACAAAACCATCACAGAAGTTATTGTTTTCATTTAGTTCAATTTAGTAAAACGGGCCAGGAAGCAGGAGTCTTGTTTCAGTGCCCATTCTGTCACTTACTTGGTATGTGATCTTGGGCAATGACTTTTACTGACTAAAGCTAGAATTGGAACATGACATCTTTTGCTTTATATTCCTGATATGAAATGTTTTGTAAGTATATGCTGCTTGGATAAAATGAAGAAATCTCTCTTCTCATTAATACGTTCCATGCTTTGAATATCTAGCTTGCTGTCCTGTGCTGCTTAATAATAGGTATGTTCTGAAAAACGTGTCTTTAGGTGATTTTGGTGCTATATGAACATGATGTTTTCTTACACAAACTAGATGGTATAGCCTACTATACTCCTAGGCTATATGGTATATATCACTGTACGTGTAATCTTTAGTTGACTGAAATGTCATTACGTGGTGCATGAATAGACCTTATATATATCCCCTTATAAATATCTTGTTACCAGATACTTGAAGATAATTGTTTACAAAGGTTACTTTGTGGCACTAAGGTCCAAGCTATTTATTTGTTCTTTCTACAGTCAGAGAAATCTTGGTGTATATAACCAAAGGCAGTTTATCTACCACTGCCTTCCTTACTCTGTCCCTGTGACTCCTATCATAGATTTGTGGGCAGGATATACCTGATTACCAGGGAGAAATAGAGAAAACCTTGAAGGAAGCTACCAAGGTCCTTTTCTGTATGTACGGGAGTCTTCCCAGTGTGTTTGTCAGTGGGCAACAAGAGTGTGGGGGGAACAAAACTCCCATAATATCTTAGTTAACTTCACCTATGTGCATAGTAGGTCAGTGCCTACCTGTCCAAGTTCTATTCCTTTTCCAGTTTTCATTCTCCTAGTAATTTTTTTCCCCCTCCTACCAGGCTGTACCAATGTTCCCCTAGTAAATTTTAGTAGTGACAACTAATACTAGAGGATTATAAACTATGAGAATAATCACTGGTTTGACAAGATTTGAACTGAAATCCTTTATCCACTTGCTGGCTAAGTGACTTCCAGCAAGTGACCTAATTTTTCTTAAGCTTCAGTTTTCTCATATGCAAAATGCCTGGTTATAAGTAAGATAACATGTATCTAGCATAATACTAAATAAATGTTAATTAAATAGGAATTGGAATTATGAGTGGATTGAAATTAGAGGATGGTCTGATTTCTAGGGTCCTTGGAAACCCATATTTTTTAAGAAGTCATTTCAGATGGGAAAACAAATACAAAGGCTCTGAAATCTTTCATGTTCAAGAGATACCAGTTCCATGGTATGAAAACATACCAAAAGCAGGAACTATGATGATGTACACCTATAACTGTACCACTCTGGGAGGCTGAGACAGGAGAACCAGAAGTTCAAGCCTGGTCTGGGCAATGTAGTGAGTAACAAGATCCCATCTCAAAAAACAAATAAAGAAAGAAAGAAAAGAAAAAAGAGCAAGAACCAAAAGTAAGAATAATTTATACCTATTCAATTAGCCAGAGCAGTTTGCTGTTAAGTGTTGTGAAAACATATTCATAAACATTGCTAGTGGCATCAAAATTTATTAAAACTCGTTAGAAAAATATACCTATTGTATTGAAAATGGTAATATCACCATACTCTTAAAATTAATAATCCTAGCAGGAAGATCGCTGCAAGTTTAAGTCCCAAATGCAAAGAACTGTATTTTGCATTTTGGGATTTTTGTCTTTGATATGTCATTTAATTAGCAAGTTTCAAGTGAAATGAATTTCCAGTGTTTTTGAAACTATCCTAATGCCGTAATTTTTTTTTTTTTTAGCTTGAGTTAACAGTATAGCATGGAATCATTCATTATTCATTATAATTAACAGTAAAGTAAAAACAAAAACAAAAAACAAACAAACAAACGGCCAGGCATGGTGGTACATGCCTCTAATCCCAGCACTCAGGAGGCTGAGGCAGGAGGATCACTGTGACTTCGAGACCAGCCTGGACTACATAGCAAGTTCCAGGTCAGTCTCAACTACATAGTGACACCCAGTCTCAAAAAACCAAAACCAAAACCAAAAAAAACAGTAAAGTGACTAACTACTCTAAAAGGGGGAAAATCTTGGTTGTTGAAAAAAAGTTCAACCTGTGAGGAATATGGACATTTTATGGATATTCCTGGAAGCCCCAGCTTTTATTTGGTTTTTGTTTTGTTTTGTTTTTTAGACAGAGGGTGAGGAATATGGACATTTTATGGATATTCCTGGAAGCCCCAGCTTTTATTTGGTTTTTGTTTTGTTTTGTTTTTTTGAGACAGGGTCTCACTATGTAATTGAGACTGACCTAGAACTCACTATGTAGCCCAGGCTGGTCTCAAATTCACAGTGATCCTCCTGCCTCAGCCTCCTGAATGCTGGGATTACAGTTATGCGTACGGCTCCCAGATTTTATTTGTAATACTTGTGTGCATTTATGCATTCATCAATCAAAATAGAGAGAAGTATAAAAATTAATAATTGTAATCAAAACTAATAATCCTATTCATGACTTTATTCTAAGAACATTCAAATTTTAAAATTGCTATAGTTCTATTTAATAGTACCTAGCACATAAAAGGCACTTAAAGTATTTCTTCAAATGAATACCTAACCGGTACTGACTTTCCAAATTGCCACCCCTTGTTTCTCCCCATTAAGATCAATCTGTTTCAGGGGATAGTTTTAGAATCAAATTTTAGTATCTTTGTCTAGTTTCTGTACTCTCATTTTCTCTACTAACTTCATGTTGATTATGGGCAAACTTACCCTATACTTTCATTGTCTAAACTCATATAAAAACTGAAGAGTCTTGCATACCATAGCCATGGCCTAACCAGGAATAAACTGGACACTTGTCTCAAGAGCCTAGAATGTTTTTCTCCCTTATACATTAACTGCACCTTGCTGCCTACTTCATTAAGACAAAGGAAAGATCTGGCAAGCGCAAGGTCCTGAGTTGGATTCCCAGTACTGAAAAAAGGAAAAAAGACAAAGGACAGCCACAAGCTATCCTCACCTGATCCCTAGCATACCTCTAGCCCTACACTTAGCTATTTCTGTTTCCCTCTAGGAGCCAAAGAACAATCTCTTCCTTGCTTTTACATCTCTTGATTCTCTGTTCTAGCCCCACTGAAAATTCTTCATTTTCCATGACTAAGTCTCGTGATTCAGAAAATGTTAGCAAACAATTCAGTTCAGTATTTTAATATACAAGGTTGTGCAACTACCACCATTATGTGATTCTAGAACTTTTGATCACATCCAAAAAGAAATCCCATATCCATTAGCAGTCACTTCCCACACCCATCCACTTATGTATGTTCTATTTTTAGGCTTGTTCTTAGAATCTCATATAAATGGAAACATTTAATATGAGTTATGATTGAAAAATATAGTTAATGTTTAAAGAAAAATTTAATACAGTAAAAGACACACTGCCATTAAGCCTCCCTCAAAATACTCCCTTTACTTGGATACTCTTATTTCACAGTTCTTGCCACTTTCTGAAGCAGCTCTGCAAGTTCTTTTTCTTGACTTTGATTGCATTCTTGTGGCTGCCTTGATGTCCTGATATGCTTCAAAACATTTACCTTTCAGTCATTTTGACTCTGGTTAAGAGTTAGAAGTGAAAAGGTGCCAGATCCAGTGAATAAGGTGGATGAAGGTATATCACAATGTTCTGCCTGCCTTTCTGTTGGACAGTAGCATTCACCATATTTTTGACCACACCACATAAACACATATTCTGAGGGGGGTTATTGGCAATGTGCCTTTATAATAAATTTTTAAACATTCACTTTATAGTTTGATCACATGTCATATGTGTTCTATTATTTCTGGTTTCTTTAATTTTAGTGTTATTGATTAAATGTTCATCCATGTTACAGCATGTATTACTACTTTATTCCTTCTGATTGCTGAATAATATTCTATTGCATCGCTATATTACATTTTGCTTTTACTTTTATCAACTGATGGACATTTGAGTTCTATTATTTGGCCATAACAAAATAATGTTGCTACAAACATTTGCATTCAAGTTACATGGTAATATGTTCAATTCTCTTGGATATACATGTAGGAGTACAAATACACTTGTATAAGAATCTAAATATTTCATGTCAAAATCTATTTGGTTTCTGACTTCAGACAGCACAAAATATCTTCCACAATGAAAAAACTCTGTACTGAACTCCCCATCCCACCCCTACTGTAACATCTGCAAGTACTGAGTCTACACACGTTAGTTATAATTTATTTCTTTCCAATTAAATTGAGGGAAGGTATCAGTTTTCACAGTACAATCATATCACAGATGCTCAATATAGGTGTAAGCAACAATAGTAACACCTTACAAACCTCAAAAACGAGACAATGACAACTTATGTACTCTTTCATTCTTCAGGCATTTGAGTGTCTTTATATCCTGGCCACTATGCTTGATAAAAGTTATTTATCAGATTCATCATGGCCCAGGTACCAGTTCAACTCCACACATATTTACTAAATGCCTACAATGTGAACAAAATTGTTTCAGGTATGATAGCAGACCCAGAAAAGAATAGGATATAGTCTGCAGCTTTCTATGGGAGAACACAAACTCTACATGTAAACAAAAATAACAAAAGCACTGAATATTAAATGCAGTTAAGAGTGAAACAAAATGCTCTGAAGAATCAATGGACAGAATATATGGTTTGGGGGAACAGAAAGATGACTAATGACAGAAAATATTTCTTGAAGATGATACTCGAGAAAGGCACCATTTCATAGACAGGAATTTCTAGGAATAAAGTATTTCAGGCAGAAGATAATATGAACAAACGCAGAGTCAAGGTATAGTTACATAATTTTCCAGACATCATTCAGTTTGGAATGTATGGATGGGCAATGAAACATAGGGTTAGCATGAAGGTTCTTGAGTAGGGTCATAGAGTACAGGGACTTAGAATTTAAATAGATTTAAGAAAATGAGTTAAAAGTCTTCCTGTAACAATTCTTATCATTTGGTGATTGTTTTCCTTGACACTTTTATATATATTTTCTAAAGTAATCATGGAAATTAGTGATTTTTCCTTTTCAAAAGAAACAAAAAATAAAAATCCTGATGACTTAATGAGCATGCTGATGTGGGACAAGGCAGAATCTCAATAGCCAATCACTATGTATTATGATTTGGGAATATGTAAGACTTAAAATGAACAAGTGGGCAAATCCCAACAACCAGAATAACCAAAGCAAGACTAAAGGTAAAATGAGAGCATTAATTAAGCCCCTAGCACCAGGACTGTGCTAGTGATTTACGTCTAACATCCTTGTTCCACCAAACCATCCCATTTAGTTTTAGGGCAACTGAGGCTCAGGGTTATCAAACTAGTAAAATGTAAAGGCCAGTTTTGAATATAGGTCTGTTTGGTTACTTGTTTAGTCCACTACTGTTCACTCTTACTTGTTCATACAATGTAAAGAAAGCTAGAATGATAATATCACAATGAAAGGGGCCAGATTCTTAATATAGAGGTTTATATGGTCTGAAGAACATTAGATTGAAACATTCATGTGTTTAGAATAGGTTAGAAATCAAGACCAAGAGATGAAATTAGGGCTGCATGCTGATCTGGTTTGAACAACAATCATAACATTGATCCTCTTTAGGAATACCAGTGGAACAAAAGTCCAGTTTTGATTTATAAACTATGAAGTAAACACCAAGAAAATGCAGATATTTGCCTATTTTTATGTATCTGAGGTCCCTAGAAAGTGGCTGTCACGTAATAGGAACTCAATTTTTTTGGAAATTATGAAAAGATGTAAGGGGAATTCTTATTTTAATATATTTTTGTTGATTTTTGTTTTTGTGTGTGTTTGAGACAGGGTTTCGCTATGTAGTTCAGGCTGGCCTTGAACGCTCTATGGAGCCTGGAACTCTTGGTGATCTTCCTGTTTCAGACTCCTAAGTGCTGGGATTAAAGGCAGCGCTGGGATTACAGACATGCATCACTATGCCCAACTATTGAATACTGTTGCAAGTAGTTATAAAAACAGTACAGTACTAAATTTAAAAAACATTTAAACTGTTAGGATCCTCAACTCCATGGCAAAAATAAATCACCACCACTATCAAAACAAGAAACAAAAAAAGCAGTACGTTTTAAAATATAAGCACTTTACAAAGCAAGGTAAAGAAAAGAATGAAAGGGCACAAAGCATAGCACCTCTGTGGATAATCAATCAAATTTCAATGAGATAGTATCCACAATTTTGACCTATTGTTCCAACAATTCAAGCTATGAGCAGGGCATTCAGTGAATGCTTTTGAAAAAGAAAATGGTTACCTAACAAATGACTTAAAAAATAGGTACTTTATTACAGTTGAAAGTAATGGAATGAAAAATCTCAAATCATTAGCTCAAAGAAATAACAGTATAATGGCAAAAGTTTTATTTTTCTAATTGTGACATGATATTCCTGTTAGAACATGAATAAGAAAAATGTAACAAAAGGGCATTAAGCGGGTAAAAAAACCCCTCAAAAAACCTTTGGAAGACAGCAGCCTCCTCACAGAAACACTAAAAAAGAATGAACAGTATCCACAGACTTATTCTTCAGAAGCTTCCACAATATTTCTTCTTTGATGGAACCAATGAATAACTGTCACCTATCACAAAATGTCTTCTCCCAGATAAGCACTTTATATAGTGCTTTCTTCTCAACAGACAATTCTTCAAGCTGCTCAAGCCTTTCAGCTTCAGCAATTTTTATTTCTATTATACTGCATTTCTTCATGGACTATCACGAGTAGCAATTTAATAAATTCTTTGCTTTCCAAAAAGCAATACTATTGCATCTCAATCAATATTTTAATATAGTTTTCTCTATTTTTTAAGTTCTACAATCATTTCATACTTAAACAATTCCTAAACTAGTTTAATTTGTCAGAGTATCAACATCGTATTTTATTCCATATTACATTAATATAGAAGACAGTGAATACATATGTAGGGCAGTTCACATGCCCCTAACTCTCTGCTGCAGACAACATCGACATTATTTTGTCTTGTCTTTTCAGTCAACTGCTGCTGCAATTTGGTGGTCTTCTAAAAGATAATTGCTTTTAGGGTCTCAGGGTGATTTTTCCCCTGTTGTATTGGGGATGGAATCCAGGGCCTTATATATTACTAGGTACGTACTCTTATCACTGAGCTACATCCTCAGCCCATCAGAATTATTTCTAAAAAAACAGGCTTTAAGGTTAAAATATTTTATTTTCATAGTTTGAAACATTTTCTAATAAACTCTAAACCAAGTAGCTTTTTAAAAGAACTAAAATTAAAATTGAAAATTCTGAGGCTAGAATTAAATAAGAATCTCAAGAAAAATATTATTTAAAGAACTTTTGAAAGACATTGCAGTTCTAGGTTCATGTCAGACATCCTGAAATTGTTGACATTTCACAAAGCTTCAAAAAGACTGATTCTTCAGTATACATACATACAAATATTGTGTTACTTGACCAATGACAAGGACTCAAAATTATTAAGTGCTTATTACCAACTCACATATCGTTTCTTATAAAAGAGAATACTGGAAGTAATTCTCTTAATCATCTTTTGTCCTTTGTGAACCATTTTGCCCTTACTTAAAATGAGCTGAACTCATGACCCTTGTGCCATGCATTAAAACCACAGCTAATAAATAGCATCTTTAAAAATCATTGCCAAATTTAACTCAACCACAAAGGGAGTCGATGTACTAAAATACAACCTTCACAAACGCTACATGTCAGCCCCATGAAAGAATTTTTAAGGCTGAGGAAGTTGTTCTCAGGGCAAACCTGTAGTATCAAATCCAAAGGCCTAAGAATGTAGGATGATATCATCAGTTAAGGCAACACAAAATCCGAGTACTTCGCATATTTGCTCTAATTTATGTGAATGTTCAGTACTTTAGGCAAAAGGCCATGTCCTTTATTAATACAGAAGCTAGAGTTCTTGCTGCATGTTAAGGCAGACAACACTACTAGCTCCATCAAGGTCGACTTACATAAAAGAGCAAGGGTAGGCAATTCGTGAATCATACAAGAAAGTATGCTCCTTTGCAGTGAATTGTAACAAGGAGTTTTGCATTCTTTGAAGGAAGCAACGGGAAAATTTTGTTGGGGAAGAAATTTTCCACCTCACACGTGGAAACCAAATACACAATTCAGTCTGCAGGTTGATAATAACAGCTTGGTGGAATAACCTCACTTCTGACACGAAAATACTCCCAAACTATGAGACGCCTTCTTTGGCGAGGGAACCCAGCATCACCTTTCCAGGCCCTCCCCAGCACGGGAAGTGGTCTGGACACCCCCAAACCACTATCCTGCCCCACAGGAAGTGAGTTCTGTTCCCCCTCCTCCAGGATCCATCCTCCCCTCCCCCAACCGGAAGTGAGGCGCCCCCATTCAGTCGGCCTCTATTAGAGATGAACCAGTAACAACAGTAAAAGAGGGGTGATCTTCATTCAGAGGGCAAAGGACACCTCGATGGTGGTCACCCCCAAGCCCGCACAGCCTACTGACCTGCAGACAACAAGGGCACCCGAAGCCGGGGCCTAATGCGAGGCTCTGGACAGAGCACAGTCCCCTCAGCCCCTCTCAGTCTCCGCCGGTCGCCGCAATCGACGTCTCACAGTGCCATAGAAATCCCTCCGCAGTACTTTATTCTGATATATTTTCTTTTTCCTTACCCAGATAACTTAGCAACTCCAGACAGGTAACTTCTCTTATCTCCGTAACATTTAAAGTAGCTCCGGTGAGGAGAAAAGTGAAATATTATTCCCAATACCTTCAGAAAAACGAAGGGATTATTTTGTTCCGGTACGGCGGAGTACTACGCGATGACGTATGCCGCGGATCCTCCTAGGATATGTAGTTTTCTGTTTTATGGCTAAGGCCCGCAGAGAGTAGGCTTTAACTTGCTAATTACTAAATACTCTACCGGAGTCCTTGAAAGTACCTACTTAGTATTCGGCGATTGCCTGCCACAAGGACACCCGATATTCAAATGGGCCGAAACTTCTTTTCCTCTGGTGTTTAATAGGACAAAATTTTCCCTTCACATGGCCCTAAGGTCTTGATCGTTCGGCCCCTTCGTTTTGGGCCCGCCTCCCAGCCAATCAGGCGCCCTCTACATCTCTTCTTCCGCCTGTTGGACCGCTGGAAGGCGGGGCCTCAAAGCGACTCCGCCCCCGAAGTTGAAGTGAGCACTGGGAGAGGGCGGTGCGCGCGCGTGCTCGCCCCTTAAGAGCGGGTGAGGGCGCGCGG